CAGCCGGTTAATTTTATTTTTTGGTTTTTTTTCCCCCACCGGAAAGCTAATCTTGTTTTGGAGGTGCCCTTAAATTGGGTCAAAACGCAGGAATCCGACTCGAGGGGAGCCAAAGGCGGTAGGTTTCAGTGGGGGAGCGCTGCGGAGGGAGCCGGGGCAGAGTTGCTGGGCGGTCTGTCCGTCAGGGTTTGTTTGCTCTTCTTGTTGTTAGGTTTTGTGTTTGGGCTGTTGCTTTTTTTTTTTTTTTTTATTATTATTTATTTTGGGCCACTAGACTTGCCTTCTTCAGCGAAGGAAAAGGAGGTGTGGTTCGCGTGAGAGGGCTAGTACTTGGGGACTGAAATCTCCCCCTGGGAGATCTTCCTCTGTTGAAATATATCGTGCAAATAAATATAGCATTGCTCTTGGTGATTGTTGAAGTCGTTTCTAAATAATAGCGAGGGATTGGGGATGTTGAAATGCTGAAATAGAAATGCCAACAAATTCCGATACTCTTCGTTCCCTCTGCTTTCTATGTTCGGAGTTGTTGGGGGATTCGACTGTATGTAGTAAGGCAGTTCTTTAACAATAGCAGCAAAACTTAAAATGATAATCAAATGAGTCATAACAATGTTGAAATAGCATTAAAGATATGGCTGAAAACGACCAGCAGCTATTTAGCTCCTCGGCACAGCAGGAGCCCTTGAGCCCTGGGAGATCCTTTCGCGTATCGCAGAGGTTTTAAACCTGGGCATCCGATTCCTCTCGGAGTTGAGGATTCATAAACCTTTTCAGTTACTTGAAGGTTCAAGGTACCCTTGGTGGTTCAGAAAGAGAATTGCCTGGTATGTCTTTGGAAGAATAACAGAGATACCAATAATTTTGGAGTTTGTTTTAACCGGCAAACAAATATACCGGTTGCTTTAATCTGAAAATGGGAAACTGGAGAGGTACAACGTCCGTCCTTTTTCCTGGCAATCCTGACGTGCTGTTTCCCAGGGTAATGCAAAAACCTTACAAATGAATGTTCCAAAATAAGGAAGACTTGGTGGGAAATATTCCAGAGCAAATCATCAGTAGTAAGAAATTATTGCCAAATTTTATCTGTTTTCTGGGATTTCATTTTGTAATGAGGAGTTACTTTGCTTGGAATGCATTTATCCAGGAAATAGTACTTAATGTGCTCCACTGTAAGCTTTGAGGCTACGTGCGAGGAGATTGAAGAGGATTTAATTAAATGTAATCAAATGTTACAAGATTCCTGATTAAAAGGTGTAGAGCTTGCTTTCTGGTGACGTGCGAGACATACTATTTATTTGCACTTTAGAGAAAAATTATTTTTCATCTTACAAACAATTGATTATTCCCACCCCCCCACCTCCCACCCCCCCGGTTCCTGAGTAACTAGCACCCTTTTGTTTTCGTCACCGGCTGGTGTTAATTCTTGTTGACTGGCCTAGTGAGAGGTGAACGAGCTTGGTGTGTCACAGCAGGGTGACAGAGTGCAGCCTGCGCGTCTGAGTCAGAGCGTGAGAGCGTGTGGGCATGTGAGAATGGCTGTGTGTGAAGTGGGAGTGTCTGGACATGTACGAGACTGTCAGCGTTGGATGCGTAGCAGGAGGAACAGGGTGTAAGCACTTGAATTCCTGTGTCTAAAAAACCAAGCATTAAATCCTGGCCGCTGTTGAAATCAGCGTGAAGTTTGCCTTTCGTTGAAGCGAAGCCAGCAGTTCGCCGTGCTGCTGGGTGGCTGTGTGAGATTGTCTGAGGGAAGGTGTGTCTGAACAGAATGGGTATGTGTACATCTGCCCCTTTCCCTGGTGGAAGAAGAAATGGTGCGTGAACGTTCAGGGCTGCGTGTCTGCTAATGCTGCTCTCGGGTCTGGGTGTGAGCGAGGCGTAAAAATGAACACTGTGGTGTTCACTTTTGTGGAATATAATGAACTGAAGTGCTGTTTATTATTAAACTTCATCACGAGGAGGAGGGCATCAGACCATCCTCCTCTCCAGCCCCCCCTCTGGGGACTGTGTGTGCGTGCCTGAGCGTCTCTGAGATTTCATGTGTGAGAAGACGATGAGTGTGTGTTTGGGATTAATTAGCCTGAGTTTAGCTGGTTTCATGCTTTACGTGCCTAGGGGCTACCCACAGTCACAGAGAGGGGAGGAGTTTGCTGTTGCTGGCTCAAAATCCTCTCCAGGGGTGATCTTGTTCGTGTCAACCATGAGCAATTAGAGAGATTAACTGTCTTGTTTTCCTTTCTGCCCTAGATTGATTCTTGTGAGGCTCTGGGACATTTGAAAGTGATTTGGAGAAAGCAAAGTCTGTGTCTGATGGACACCGAACCGAAGCCAGCGTGTGTTGTGCAGCAGGCTCAGTGCCCAGGAATGAAGTGCCCTCCTTCAGAGGACTTTCCTCCTCAGATAAGACTGTCTGAAAAGATACCACCAGTGAAGCCTTGCTTCAAGAAGAAGCAGCAAGTGCAGAAGAGACTGGACACAGAAACTCTCCGGGCTTTGCGGCCAATCTTCACCAGTTTGCTGGGAGCTGGGACCTTGGATAGGGTCTTTGTGCCCCGAGGCCAAGGTGGCAGTCATAGTGATTTATGTGAACCTGCTGTGAAAAAGACTCTGGACCTCGGTGCTTCTTGCCCCCAACCGGAAAGTAGCGTGACTGTGCTGATGCCAACAGCTCCAGATGTGCAGAGTCAGTTGCCAGTAGCTCATCCTTCTTCCGGGCATCCTGAGCAGGATGTCCAACCAGGAGAGCAAGCCTTCTCGCCAGAAACTACTCCTGGAACTGCTGCTGATAATAGTAATGAATCATTCCAGGATCATCCTTTGCACTCAACTGCTAGTGATGGTGCAGCTTGTCCTTTGTTCCCAGACAAGATTCTGGAAAGCTACACATCTGGCTTATTCCAAGAGAACAGCTGTCCGATGCAATACAATTTGAACCCAAGCAATAAATTTAGTGCTGGGATATTCCAGGATAAAAGTGAAGAAGCTTCTCTTGACCTGGTGTTTGAGCTCTTGAACCAGCTGCAATATCACACCCATCAGGAAGACGGAATAGAAATCTGTGTGGATTTTCTCCAGGGCACTTGTGTTTATGGCAGTGATTGTCCCAAACATCACACAGTCTTGCCGTATCATTGGCAAGTGAGAAGGACAGCAACCCAGAGTTGGCAAAGCGTGACCAATGATGCCCAGGAGCATCTGGAAAGACTCTACTGCAACCCTGACAATGACAGGATCAAAGTGAAGTATCGGTAGGTAACTGAATTTACTCCCTGACTAGCAAGGGTGCTTAACCGAGCAGCGGTGCAGAAATGTATAACAGAATGCACGTTCTTTTTTCCTGATGTTTTGTATACACGTGTTTTACAAACCTGGTGATGATGTTACCTAACGAGTTTGCCACAACAGAAAATTGTTCCGCACCTATTAAAACTACTGGTTATCATCTGGAAATTATTCTTTGAAGCTGAAGGACTTTGAATTGTGTGAAATAAGAAGACTTCAGTTCTGTAGAAATTGAGAGTTGACAGAGGCTGTTGTGTACCTTTGTACTTGTTCTTGACGTTTCTAATTACCCTCTTCTCTGTATCAGAGAAAGTGGCAGCATGAATGAGCCTTTACCACGGTTGAAACGGGAATGATACAGCAGTTGCCTTCTGTCACTCTGAATCCAGGCTGACTGTATGCACTCCAAGCACAGTTTTCATAACTACGTCATAAGGAACTAAAATCAGACAGGTGCTCTGTTAAGTCTCCTGACTGGAAATTTCATTTGGTAATAATATATGGTGGTGTTTCAGCTAATTCACTATGAACAGCCTGAACAATACCTTCAGAAATGCTGAGCATCTGTTTAAGCTGTCATCTAAAAATGTTAAACCATTTATTTGAAATTATCATTTCCTTTATACATAGTAGTGTTTATCTACTTATTTTCTGAAATTAGAAATCAGCTTTTCAGTTTCGCTTGTCATGTTGTCAATTTAGGCTTGATCCTGCACCCTTAGATCTAAACCAGAATTTCTTCAACTTTTATAACACAGCTTCCATTTTGAGTAGTAGTGGGGAGTGCTGATGATTACAAGTTCATCAGATCTATATAGTCCATGCTCTTAGGAATGCAGGGTGTAGACTCTTTTTCTTTCTCTTTTTTTTTTTTTTTTCTGGAGGAAGCATACAATGCAACTTTCTCACACCTTATCTGCCCTGCCGTAATCTGTAAGCCCGGTGCAACTTGTTCTAGTCATAGTCAGTTCAAAGCGACAACTTCTGTAGCTGCGTAGTAAAAACTTCAAATTGCCTTTGCCATCTGAGTCCTTGTGGATTTGTTCTCGCTGCCTCTTCGTCCTTCCACTTCCTCAAGAAGTATATCCCTTCTTCCTTAATGATTTCATTTTCATTTACTATGCTGAGATTTCTCATTAAAATAAAAAAAAAATCTTGTAACGGCATGGCAGATAAAATTTGCTGTATTTTACAACAGAGAAACTTCCATTTTTCCAAGTTTTAAAAATGATTTCTGAAAACAAAACAGCAAATGTAGAAAAAAGACAAGCCCATGCAAGTAATTAAAATTTAATCTGTGCAAATGAGCAAGTTTTCTTTTTAAAGCCTGTATCACAGAATCCATTGCTACAGACATGCTGTACATGTTCTAAATAATGGCGTTAAGAATGATTAATTTTAAAAGAAACAATGCTTCATAATTGCTTAGTCATCCCCAGCCTGTAAAATCGGCTGAATAGCATTGTCCGTCTTTACACTTACTTTGCAGGTTTCCAGTCTGGTGGGTATTTTGGTCTCTTGGTACACAGAGTTTCTGTCTGTCTGAACTGGTCAGGAAGAAACTTATTGGGTGTGTTGCCAGACGCATGATGTTCTGTTACCGCAAATGAAGTCAGAGAAGCAGTGTGATCTCGGAAAACCCAGGTGCGCTGGGTCCGAGCTCCGCTGCTGGTTCTCCAGGCAGCGTGAAACTCTGCTGTCAAAGTGGAGGCAGAGTCTTTGAATACAAACTAGACTTCATCTCATTGAGTTGAACTGGCTACCCAGTGAGTGTCTGCCTAACTGTTCTTCAGGTAAAAGTAGTCTACTGAGACTAAAGTTATTTTAAAAAAGCAGTATTTTCTAACTAAATTCTGTTTCTAGCTGATAAATCTGTAGCCTGTACTTTTCTTCCTTCTCTTAAAAAACATTCTTTGCTTCAGTCGGTGCTACAAAATCATACTCCAATGCAGGATTGGATGGCTGTTATTAATTTATAATATCCACTTACCATGGAGTGACAAATTGGCAAGTTCTGTAACCCTTGTATGTATTTCATCCCTTGGAAGAGCTTCAGGTTTGTGGATAAGTATCGGTGAGAACCTAGGAGTGAAACTTTTTTAAGACTAGAGCTTCTGATTTCAAACATTGAAACTAATACGCATTCAAACTTAGACTTCACGTGGTTTTGGATTAGATTTTGAAGTGGGGGGTAAATGTTTTACTGTGTATCGTCGCTAGTTTCTCCTAACGCAACATCAGCTGGTATCAGAAGAACCTGCTAAACCCTTAGATGTGGACTGCTTGGACTCGGCGTGACTCTTCCTGGAGTTCACGAGTGGTCACTGTAGCCTGGCTTCCCTTTCGCTCCCGGGCGATGTTGTGTCTCCTGGCAACGAGATGCAGATCGCAGTGTGGTGAACCTTGCTGAGAGGCTCGCAAACATGCTAGAACAGCTCATCGTTCACATGGTTACCGCATTATTTGGCTAAAGCTATTAATCTCTTGTGGTCAGACTAGCTTTACAGGCCTATCTATACAGATTGCATACAACAAGGAAATGCCTGCTCAGCAGTTTGCACGTCCAAGAAAGGCCATGCAGAAGCCCGCCTGACAACCAGTGGGTGGTAGTTGTTTATTCTCCTTTGTTTTAAACACAGTTTATATGGCACAGTAAGTAATCACTGCAGTCTGCATGCATAATATTGCCATTGTGTGCTGCTCCAAGACTGTTGGGCCGATCAAGAAAGTGTTGGGCTATTGGCTCAATTAGAGAATAAGGTCTAAATTAAAACGGGATGTTTTCCAAGTTGCTATTTATATAAATCTTTCTTCATCTCAATGTTATTCAGTCACTTCGTGATACGACTACCTCAGATATTCCTTGCAGTTTGTCCTCAAACTGAATATAAAACTTTATCATAAATCATCTATATATTTGCTTTCTATCACAAGAAATTGTTTATATATTTGCTTTTCTATCAGAAGTCTATCAAGAATTTAGAGCCAAATACCAAGCTCTCTAAACAAATGGGGAAATAAGCAGGTTAAAATACTCAGAAGCACTCAGTTTTCTTCATACATGTGAGGGAGGCCCTGGAGAAGTTCCCGCTTGCAGCTAAGTATTTGAGAGCGCAACACCAAGTGCTGCTTTCCAACGTGAGAGTACCCAAGCCAGGGTATTTTAAGATGCTCTTCAGTAAGGGGAAATACTTGGCTGCTGAACTGAGCACGTTTTCCCCACATACACACCTGTCCAATCATGCACATGCTGCTTTTCAAAATAAGCAACACCATTACGGATTACACGAGGATTTGTTTAAAACCACTCTGCAGTTCCTGACCCCTCAGTTCCTCCTCTCTGGCTGAAAATTCCACCCCTTCTCTTGTCAAAGAGACGTTCCTGTGTGCCATGGGAACTGCCACGTCAGTCCAGCTACGTGTGCCCTGGCATATCCCAACTCCCGTGAAACAACACCTTCGCACAGTTGCTTTGATTTCTCCCCCTGCCCAACCCCCCCGTAATTTCTGTAAGTTTTATGAAATGGCTCCTTCTAGCTAGAAGAGAAAGGCCAAAACAAAATGGCTCCAGTCAGGGAGGAGCAGGTGGACCTCCAGTGGCACATGTTCTGCCTGGGAGCAGTTGGCTACTCGGTGTACATGCGTGGCTCTGGGATGAAGTCAGAGTAAATACTGTGTGCTCCCCAGTGGGTTGTCAGTGGGCACATGGAGACACCTGGGAAAGAATGGTAAGGACAAAAATAAATGTAAAGGGAACTAGTTTTCCTTTCTTCTTGTGTTCATGGGATAACTTGTTTGTCTGACGCTGTTAGAGTATGCTTATAGTGATTTGAAAAATCATCTAGAGCACAGTGGAAATGTTTCAGTTGTTCAGGGACTTGCAGAAGTCATCTGACCAACTGAATAGTTAAATTTAGGAAGTTATCTTTCTGATCTGCACAGCTGCCACAGCGTATGAGATAACTCATGTGTTATTGATAACACCGGAGATGAGAAAACAGCTGAAATTCACTGTGCCTGGCGATTTTGTGTGTGGTGTTTCTTGAATGTACACTGCTGAGTGGTTTTGAACTTCTTTTAATTCCTTGCTAGAAGGAATGCAAGACAGAGACTCGAAATAAAAAGCATGTGAAGTGATTTTGGAAGTGTTTGCCTTCTGCTTTATAATGCTACACTTCAATGAATTCCTGTTTGCTCCACTTTATGGTATCATTTACATATGAAACAAAACTAATTGGCTTGTAGCTACGCAAATCTGGGGAAGTTAGCAGTGTTACGCTGAGCCGCTGGAGGAATCGGCAGTCGCTCGCATAGCCCTTTTCTCGTTTCACGTCAATAAACAGATTACGGTTTTGGAAACAGCTGTCACCTGGCTTCAGGTTGAGGTCAGTCTGTTCCCTGTGTACTTAGGGTAATAAAACAGTCCTTTCTGAAACAAAGATTTATGATTGGTGAAAGGGATTGCTCAGAAGAGTTGCTTAGAAGTAGTCCAGGAGGCCCGGTGGTGTAGCGTTGTCTGCCTGCCCGTTTCCGTAAGGATGAGGAACAGAAAGAGTCTGTTACAGTTATTTGCTTAGCAAGAGCAGTGATCGTGAAGTTCCTTCCTAGTTGGTACATGCGTTTGTTGAAATGGGCAGGGGTTGGAGCCGAGTGATAATTGCAAAATTTGGTACTCGTAGTCAAATGTGTAAAGGAGTCCCTTTTTTTTTTTTGTAAGCTTGCACGTGGAGGGTGTGACATTAAACACCGGATGGAACATTCAGAAACTGAAACACCCAGAATTGGTGGTCGCTAGTAAGTGTTAGACTTGTATACGACCATCTTATGTAAAGCATTGATGAAATTGATGTAGTTTCATTATTTATCATAAGTCTCGGAGGTCTTTTAAGCCCTGAGATTGGATAAAATTCTAAAAAAAAAAAGCAGCAGGCCTGTGTGCAGAACGTTTTTGAAAAAATGGGGCTTT